ATATATATATATATACACATATATATATATACACACACACACACATATATACATATAATTCTATTTTGAACGTCTTTGTCCTGAGGCAGCATATGAATGGTTATGGCAATTAGGAAGTTTTCAGCTGCAAATAAAGCATACCTGATTTAAAATGTAAGTGAAATAATGGTTTATTGATTTCATATGTCAAGAAGTTAGGTTGGTGAGCATCGGGATTGCTAGTGACCCAAGTTCTTTCATTTTTCTGCTCTGCCATCCACAAGCTTTTCAAGAGCATCAGCCATGCCTCTCCTCATGGTCACAACATGGTTGCCAGAGCTCCTAGCATCCTGTCCTTAAATAACAGCATCCAAAGCAGGAAGGAAGAAGGGACATTAGCACAAAAGGCCTTCTCATTGGCTTTCTCTAGGCAGAGAAGAAATCGCTTCAGCAGAAACTCTTAGTGACCCAGATTGGGTCCCACAGCCACCTCTAGACCAGTCACCAGCAAAGAAGAGCAGTGTTGTCATCACTGGCTTACACCCAATATGGTTCAGGCCAGGAGCTGGGCACATTGCCCTGAAACAAAATTGGGGCTATGTTAGAAAGAAGAACAAGGAATGGTTTGGGAGGCCAGGACCTGCCATGGCATGTGAAGCACAGTCTACTTGAGCCATGAAGAAATGGCACTGCCCCACTAACAAGCAATACTCAGGACGGTCCCTTTTCTGCAAGTTATTCCTTCAAGCATCACACACACATCCACCCTTTTCATCTGTAAATCCCCACAACTCTAGGGAACCATGTAACCCATTGGCCTGATCATTTGTTGAAGGGGGTGGCAAAGTAAATGGAGAGGTACTCACTCCTCTTGGACACACGTTGGGGTGGATGACATCTGGCTGAAAGACTGAATCTGCATTCATCTCAGACATCAGTCATGAGAATGTAAGCTCTCAAGGGAAGGGTGCATGTCTATTGTGTTCACTGTTGTTGCCTCACGTCTACCACGACATACAGCAGACAGTAGTCATGCAGTGATGATGATGGAGTGATGAATGACCAGAATCATGACTGAAAAAGAAGATATCCTCCTGGAATGATGCCTCTGTAAACAGATGGCACCTGAGTGACCTGCAGAAGTGTAACGTGGGTCTACCTCTCTCAGGAGTTGACTAACAGTAGGGTAAAAAGATGTTGGCAAGATAAAATTCCCCCTCATCTATTACTGGTGGGAATGCAAACTGGTATAGCCAATGTGGAAAACAATTTGGCAGTTCCTCAAATCATTAAACATAGAACTACTGTATAACCCAACAATTCTACTGTAGGTATAGACCCCTAAGATTTGAAAGCAGAACACAAACAGATATTTGTGTCCCAGTGTTCATTCCAGCTCTATTCACAATAGCCAAAAAGTAGAAACAACCAAAATGTCAATCAAAAGATGAATGGATAGACAAAATGTAGTATATCCATACAGTGGAATATTATACAGCTGTGAGGAAAAATAAAGTCCTGATGCATGCTATGACATGGATGAACCTTGAAAACATTATGCTGGTTAAAATAAGTCAGTCACAGAAAGAGAAATATAATATGATCCCACTTATATTAAGTAGGAAATTATGTAGATAGCAAGGCTTCTTAGTGTCTGTGGGGAAGGGGAGTCATTGCTTGGGAGCACTGAGTCTCTGTTAGTGACTGTACAACATGATGAACGTAATCAGGGTCACTGAATTGTACGTAAAAAAAATGGTTGGCAAAAATGTTGTTATATATATATTTTTATCTCTCTCTCTCTCACACACACACACATACATACACACACAACCTGGTAAAGTCCCATGTCAAACAGCATGTGCCAGAGTGGTGCCTACGGGGCTTTCAGCATGGGCCATGCCATCTGCATGCACCACAACCAGAGGAAGAATCAATGACCAGCATCCACTTGCCCTTGGCTGTTGTCCCTTTTGATTACTGCCTTTTGTGTAGAGACCACAAGAATGTCTTATCTACTAAAGTTTACTTGGTTTTGTGGAAGAAAGAGGATTCTTCTTTAATCCTCTTTCTGTAACTTTTTAAAGATTTATTAATGTAATTGTTCAAGAGGGAAAGAAAAGCCATGTTTCACTCTTCTCCCTGCTAGCTTGTTAAACCAAGGAGGAAATGATGGTTTCATTCCGTTTAAGTGGCGTTTAATGATTGACCAAGGGGTGTAAACAGCCTTCCTAAAAGGCGAAGTATACTGGGATGTCAAGGAGGACTGTTTAAGGCAAAGCAGTGTTTCTCACTTATTATGAGAACTTCCACTCGAGCCTATTGTTCCTCTTCAAACTTTGTTTTGCTTTCTTTTAGACCTAGAAGGTTTTGACTCCGTGGTGTCATCTACTGAGAAACTCAGTCACCCAACCACAAGCCGACCAAAAGCTACCGGGAGGCGGCCTCCATCCCAGTCCCTCACGTCTGTAAGTGTCTTGTCCTCTCGCCGTACTTCTCCACAGCCGAAGAGCAGGAAGGGTTAAAGACTCCAACTAAGGACCCTTCTGCAAGTGGCTGGTTTGAGGACAGCCAGGAGAGGGAGGGCTGGTTAAGAGTGATTCAAGAATCTTCTAGAATCAAGCAGCTCTTCCTTTCTAATGTTTGTTCTTTATGTACCTGCCAGAGAGGTGGGCATTCTCTACTCCCGCTTTCCTTCTCTCTTCGTCTAGACTGATTCTTATTTGAACCTGACATGAGACTTATAAGAAAAAAAAATGTATTTCATGGTGGAAAAGGTGAGAAAGGTTGCTTTGCTCTGTAAACAAAACTAGATTAAAGTAAAGAGCTGCCACACAGGCATGCTAGCCTCTGTCTCCCAAAGCCCCAGCCATGCACACCTCTCCACCAAACCCCCCACACACCTAGAGGTTTTTTTTGTTTGAGTTGCTCTCGACAGCTGACCTTCTTATTGCAAACTTGTTGCACGTTTATTATTCCACACCTGAGCAATGAAAAGCATAAAGAAGAAAGGACGTGACCTGTAATCCTGCTCCCAGAACTCAGAACTGGGTTTCTGTATTATTATTCAAAAATGGGATCACACAGCAGCCAATGTTTTGGAATTTGCTCACCCCCACCATTTTGCACCTCTTTCTCCCCAGACTTCTGGACCATCACATTTGATGCCTGCCTAGTATTCTAACCTACAAATACATAAGAGTGTTTATCTAGCCAATGGGGTCTTAGAAACCTATGTTCTTTCGAGTTCTTCATTATAAACGACACCAAAGTGAATGTCATTCTGGAAAAATGTTGGTGCTGCCCCAAAAGGGTTCCCTTAGGTAAAATCATTCTGATGTGGGTCAAAGGCAGTACAGGCTTTGCTTTTGGCACAGGTTGCACACTTGCCCTCCACAACAGTGACTAAGTTTGCCTCTCGCAAGGTAGAGACGCTGACTCACCCTTGCTGGGCATGCTGCTCTGTGGCCTGCTGACCCCCAGGAATGAACCTTTTGCAGGTTTCCTGTCGGACCGACCCGCTTTCCTTTTTCACCTCAGCCCCGATGCCACCTAGGGTGTCATCAGTTAGAAGAAAACGAACACCCTTGTTTCTGAATCTCTCCTACCTGCTGAGCTGAAAGCGTGGGTTCAGTTGTCCTGCTTTCCCCCTTGGATGAAGCAAAGCTCACCGTACATTGGCACCTTGTTGGGAGAAGGACTTGGAGAAGTCCTTTCCTTTCCCTCCCTTATATAGAGCTCTGAGTCAGCACCGCTGTCTCTCCCCTCTCTCTCACCCCTCACACCCGCCAACTCACACAACCTATTGAATGCTTCTTAGTGTCTCTATACTTAGATTGTTAATCCTACCTCCTACATCTCTCTAAATCCTTCATCGTTTTTGTTGTCCTTCCACATTTTTCCTAATGTTTCAAGGTTGAAAGAGCCTTGAGGTTTCCAGAATGACTAACCCTTAGCTTAGCCTTAAGGAGCCCTGGTGGTGCAGCAGTTAAGCGCTCAGCTGCTAACCAAAAGATCAACAATTCAAACCCACCAGCCAGTCCATGCAAGAAAGTTGTGGCAGTCTCTTTCTGTAAAGATTCCAGCCTTGGAAACCCTATGGGGCAGTTCTACTCTGTCCTATAGATGTTGGAGTCGCCTCCAGGGCAATGAGCTTATTGTTGTTTTCACCCCACCTGTGTTCTATACATCCCATGTCTGGTAGTTTCTGTGTAGTTTGGGGAATGCAATAAAGGCATCTTGTCTTCATTCCACTTTTAGATTACAGGGTGGTTTGTTCGTTCAGTCATTCAACAAGTATCTATCAACTGCCTGTTATATGCTCAGCACCGTGCCAGGCACCAAGGCTACAACTGGAAGTAAAGTGTCCACAGTCCCTGCCCACAGTAAGCTTATGGCACAGTGACTTGATATGGAGCAATTGTTTTTGCGAACTTAAAACAACCAGATACATTTGTGTTTTGAAGAAATATGAGTACTATACTCTCTTCCCTTCCCTTTGTTTCCATCCATTCCCATAAGAATATGTTCAGTGAATTCATATTTACTCTTTCTGCAACCAGCAGCTGTAGGTTTTTCAAAGCAAAATGGGATTAGTAGATGTGAGCATAGTTTATAAAAGGCCACTGGAGGAAATGATTGAGGAAATGCACCAGTGACAATTCCCCAGCTGGTGGCCTGTCACCCTAGTTAGAGCTGTTTACATTTATAGGATTCAGAGAGCGAGCTGTGATTGGCAGCTCGTGAACTATAGGTTGTACAGGAGGAAGATGGCTTCTTGAATGGAATCTCAAAATGAAACGGTACAGGCATTGCAAGGTGGTTAAGCAGTTAAGCCTAGATTAATAGGAAACCTTGGCATGGGGAGGGTATTCTAGGTAATTGGGTTTTCAGATTAAATGAAGATTAACAAACAAAACCGCTTAAATTTAAAACTTTGCTTAACAAATTCCCTAAAATGGTGGATGTGCTTGTTTGCCAGTAGTGCCGAGTGGTGATTCTAAATAAGACTGTCTTTCTGTCAAACGGGGTAGAAAGCATAAAGGTGATGTTGAATGTGAGCGCACCCAAAGATATCTCTGGAAAATTGTTTAAAAAGAGTCTTGGGGTATGGTAACTCTTATTTCCGTCTGCTTTGTACTGAAATAGGAACGTTCTAGTACAATAATCATTTATGACTAAGTGAATTATCTCACATTCATCCAGCTTTTTTGATGTTCCCAGTGAGACAGAGGGGTTACCCCAATATTTTACCAACAAGATACCATTGTTTGAATGAACCTCAGCAAATACAGAATCCAAAATGGATATTGATTGTCAGCAATAATGAGGGTACCATGTGGCAGCAGGTGCCAACTGATCTATGAACTTGCTGTGCTGGTGGGCAGACCTGTGCTCTCAGGCTCTGGACATGGGGCAGCAGGCTGGTTGATCCCTTTCCCTTAGAAACCGGTTCCCCTCAGACAAGTCTTCTGAGGGCCCTTCAGTAAACAGTAGATCTTAAGATCCCAGAAAAGGAGTGGAAGGGGACGGAGTAGAGGACAGCCAGAGGCAGCCTCCTGTTGACCTGTCTGTCCTTCCCCACTGGGCTGTCAGTTCTGGGATGGCAAGTACTATGTGTGACATGGGCACCGTTCAGTCTGCAGTACCATGGTCAGTGCCTGACACACACAGTAGCAGATATTTATAGAAAGGGAAAGAGGGGGCAGGGGAAGATGGATGGTGGATGATGAAATGGGTGAATTAATTAATGGGCATCAGTGGAAAGAGTCCAGGGAGCCGTGGAAAGATCCACGGTTTAGGAAACCTTGCTTCTTAGTTTAAGTTCTGCTACTAACCAGCTATGCAGTTGTCTCCAATAAACAGATAACCACGTACTTTCTGCCTCCCAGGGTTATACTGAGGAAACCAAATAGAAGCATTTAGGAGTGCTTTGAGAAGTATATAGCATTATGCTAACGAAAGCTTCATCGGCTAACATGTAATTCTGATGTGTTTTCTTTTGGCCTTATTCAGTCATCCCTGTCAAGCCCTGATATCTTTGACTCTCCAAGTCCAGAAGACGACAAAGAGGAACACGTTTCACTTGTGCACAGAGGAGCAGACGCATCAAAGAAAACTTCAAAGACTGTTACCATATCCCAAGTGAGTGACCAGCCCTGGCTAGGTGTCCTGGCAGCGAATGAGCCCTGCCTTTCCGCACAGGCTTTAAAGACAGGCTGGGAGAAATAGCATTACCACGCTCTCTCCTCTTTCCTCCATTCTCATATGTATGTGTACATTGTAACCCAAACAAGGATGGGCAGAAAGTGCAGGCATTCTCCAGTGACAGTCATAACTTTAGTCATCAAAATCCCTGAGGCATGTTACAAAGCCTCCCCAGCTGGGCAGGATCCCTGAGATGCAAGTTCAGTTACTTATTTCCCATGTTGTTTTCTCCCCACCGTCAGACACACATACACAAATGCCTGTGCACACGCACACTGCTGCCACTGCCACTGCCACTGCCACCACTGTAACAAAACTTGAAAGGCATACAGGTGCTTAGAAAGAACTGAAATGTATTAAATCCTTTGCCCCCTGCCCACAGATCTTGACTTTGATGTTCAGAGCTGGTGGTGTCAGAAATTATAGCGGGCCAATAGTAAAGGTGAATAACGAGTGGGTTCTCTTAAGAAAAGCAGGTTTGGGATTTGAATGTGAGGATATATTTATAGTCTGCAAGCATCATAATTTCACTGTGTGCCCAGGGAGTGGCATAGCTATTTGAGGTTATTAATTTGTGAGAAACAAAGAAGACATTGTTTAGTTACTGTGTGTGGCTTCAGAAGTGTGCCCTGTACAAAATCTCTTTTTCCTATGAATATGAACCAAGATTTTTAAATTCCATTTTCTCATATTATGAGAATGCAAATTGTTTTTTAAGGCACTTGAAGCAAGACTTAAAAAGAAATCAAACGTTATGTGCAGTTTTCCTTCTCATAGATTTAAGAATTCACAGGTATGCGTTTTCTTAAAAATATGATACAGTAAGCAAAAATATGACCCTATTAAACTGGTCACTTATAGTTATTTACACAACTGAATTCTTCCTTTATCAAAGGATTCCATTTGTAGAAATTTGGTTTGTTGTTGTTGTTACCATGTGCCCTCGAGTCAGACCCAACTCATAGTGACCCCTCCTTGGGTTCCCGAGGCAGTATCACTACAGAAGTAGACTGCCCCATCTTCCTTCCAAGGAGCGGCTGGTGGGTTTGAACCGCCAACCTTCTGGTTAGCAGTCAAGTGCCTTAGGCACTACACTACTGACCCCTGCTTTCTGGCGACTCAGGAGAGACAACTATAGTTATGCTTTCTCATGTCCCTGGTGTGTGCCTACAGTGACACCTACTGGGGGACAGCAGATTTTCTGATTGTTCTGATTCACACAGTTTTATCCCAGCCCCTCCTCGGAAGGAAGGTTGGGCAATCTACTTCCATACCGATACTGCCTCAAAAACCCAAAGAGGGGTCGCTATGAGTCAGATCCAACTCGACGGCAGTGAGGTTTTTTTTTTTTTTTTAAATCCTATTAGCCTGTACTACTTCCCCAGAGTTGTCACAACATGTTCTTTGCTTCTAGAAATTGCACTTGAACTAATTTGATCAGGGAGTGTGGTAGTCTACTCCTCAAGGCTTTACATTAGCTGCACGGAGCCAGGAGAGTGCCTTCTCCAGAAACTGCTCAGGGAACTGTTGATTTGAGAAGGGTCTGGAAGTACATTGTGTGGGTGGGGGCAGGTACGGAAGGATGCAGGGTGGGAAATGGGAAAAGCAGGAGCCCAGGAGCAGGAGATAAGCAAAGAAAGTAGGAGCAGGAGAGTGCCTTTCTCCAGAAGAGCAACTAAAGTCACGCCGGGCACAAGGGGCCCAGCTGACAGAGGAGGGGCCTGAATCCCCATTCTTCTGCCGTTCTCAGATGTGAGACTAGTTTGGTAAAATACATGGACCTATTGATCCTCATTTGAATTGTCTAGCCTACGACTTCCGGCCTAGCTTCAGGCTCTGTCAGTGTCAATTCCTCTTCCCCTAGACACTAACTCCTAACACGGAGAACTCTTCATGCTGCATTACAGACAGGGCTTTGCTCACTGGTTACCTAGCAGAGAAAAACAGGCGTGGACACACAGACAGACTGGGAACCGTAGCCCACCTGCCTTTGCTCCCTCTGTAGGCCTGTCCTAATAGCACACTCTGAATCCACTCCCCCGCGTCACCGTGCCAGCCTAGCCCCTTCTTAGCTCCTGCCTTGGGGTGGCTGGCAAGGCACCTGCTGATGCCAAGCTTCACCACCAACCTCACACATAGAGGCAAGATACCAGAAGCCAGGATCCACCCCCTCATCCTGGCCCACTGCTTCCCTGCTCCCTTCCCACCTGCCAACTCCCCTTCCACTTCCACCACTGGGCCTGTTGGGTACCCCTCTTCCACTGACCTATCTGCCTGTGCCCTCCTGGCCTCTTTAGAAAATTCTCCATCATTCCTCCCTAACCTGTCCCCTCAGTCTGCAACCAGGCCCTCCATGGCTCTTTCTCTGAGCATAACATCTTTGAAAGCAGACAAAACCCCTCCTTGATTCTGTCTACTCCCAAGGCTTTGACATGAGTCCCCTTCTCTCTCCTCCACTTCTCTTGCTCAGCCAAGTCTCTGGAAAGAGGGCCTCGAAGTTGCAAGCCGCACCCCTCACTTCCCATCAGGCCAAGGGCCTGCTGTCTTCAGGTTTCTGTCCCCATTGCTCCACCAAATGGGCTCTCTCAGTACCCTTGACCCACTTATCCTATCATGTTTTCTTTCTGGAAACTTCTCCAGGAGGGTCCTATAACTCAGGCCTATCCTCTGGTCTTGCTTCATCCTCTCTCACCACCTTTCCTCACCTCTTAAATTTGGAGCTTCCCTGGGGCGCAGTCATTGGGCCTCTTCTCTTAGTGTTCTTTCTTATTCATCCCACCTCAGTCTGTCTATCTTGGTACGCCCAGCTCACTCTTTTAAACTCTGGCTCTGCCTGTGAGACATGTCCTCTTGGCTATCCCTCAGGCTTCTGAAACTCAGTGTACCTAAAATGGAAATCATTATCCTTTGGGCCTTTAGGCTGCCCTTTCTCCCTGGAAAGGTGCACCTCAGCGCCTGGTCCCTCTGTCCCACCCATGGTCCTTGTGCAGCACTTCCTCCTTCACTTTCACATCCTGCCTAGGGCCACATCCTGCTGGTCAGCGTGTCTGCTCCAAGAGGCACAGGTAGCCACTCCCCACCCAACACCCAGAGCAGTGCCCAAGGCTCTGGTGGGTAAGTTTTCCACCCACATCGCTCAAAGCTGTCTTCTCTTTTCAACCCTTTGGCCACTACCTAGGTCCATTACCATTTCTACCTTCCATTGTCTCTCTAGGAGCTCTGGTGGCATAGTGCCTGTGCCATTTGACTGCTAACCGGCAGGCTGGCAGTTCAAAACCACCAGCCACTCCTCAGAAGGAAGACTGGGCAATCTACTTCTGTAGTGATACCCCTCAGAAACCCAAGGAGGGGTTGCTGTGATTCTGATCCAACTGTGCAGCAGTGAGTTTGGTTTTTTGGTTATTGTCTTTCTGGCAACCCCAGGACCCTTCTACAGCCAGTGCCATCCAGTCTGACACACAATCTTTTTAACTTGTCAACAAACCCCTTCCAACCACCCACCCCACCTCTTTCTTGCCCCTCTGACTTTCCAGCCCTGCTAAAATACCTACTTCAGGAAACATGGTCTATTCACCAGGGTCTAGCCCTTTGCCTCCTTA